CCCCAAAACCCCAAAACCCCAAAACCCCTTTGGACTGAGATATAACTGAACTAGGCAGATTTTTTAATAGAGTTTTTGGAGGGTAATAAGGGCTAGGAATTTACACTCCCAGGGCTCTGGATGCAGGAAGGACTGCCCTAGCGTGCTTTTGGAAGGGTTTTAAGGGAATTTTGGACTGTTCTAGAGGGTATAGGTTAAGAAATATCTATTAGAGTCTTAGATTGGGTTAAAATGGAGAGAAAGGATTTTGAAAGTAGGGTAAATATCCTTACACTAGGCGAGAAGGTTCTCCTCATCATGTTGATGTTCTTATCAATATGCTTTCTTGAAGTCTTAAGACCCTTCCTATGGAAAGCTTTTCCAGTTGAAGTAGCATTTTTGAATTGGAAAGCACGAGCAGTTTTGAAGAAATTATAGGTGCTAAATAAAGGCATCTCTGTAAAAATTTAGCATCAGAGCGCATACCTGCCTCTTTCTTCTGGATATCTTCTATTTTATTTCTGTATATCATTATTCATAGTGGACAAGATATCTTTCAGTGTCTTCGGGTTCATATTTCTAGAATTTTTACCCTTTGCCGTTGGAATACTCTTAAATCTATATGGTTCTGGAGATAAACTGCTGAGTTTCTTGAACTCTTTCATCTTCTCTCTCAAGTCAGTTTGCTCGTGATGTTCTTGAGTAATTTTGCTAGATTTCTTTTTCAAAATTCTAGCAGAATTTCCCTTAAAAATAATATTATTTCTAGTATGCTTCTTGACCTTGTAGCCTAAAATTGGAGGTAATTGCTTCCTAAATTTTACTAGCCTACATTACTTTGGCTGAATTTCTAAAAAATAAGACCAAAAGTTACTCTCTAAGAAGTCATTGATCTTATGCTCGGCATCATCATTCTTCTCCTTAGTATGATAAAGTTTAGTGACGGGCTTTTTCAATTTGCCACTTTTCTTCTTGGCTTTACGCATCAGGACCTCTTTTGAGTTATAGGAAGTATCCATTGAGTCAGACTTTATCACAGATTTAATTGGGCTCGGAATCTCTCTAATTGTATTAAAGTTCCATTCTCCATGGCCAGTAGAGTTTCTAAACGTAGGCTTATTTCCTTAAGGGATTTCCATATTGATCTCGTGACAAATTCCTCTCCTCTGCCTTCAAGCTAGGCTTCTGAGTAGATGAAGATTGGACAGACATCCTCGCATCCATGTTGGACCGATTTAGTAATGAACTCTTTTCTTCTGAGAACTGTTTGGCTTTATTTTGTCTAAAATCAAAAAGAATACTTTACTTCCTTAGCTGGTTAAGTTGGTCCCTCATCTCAGGAGTTATCATCCTGATTTGACTATGTCTTCTTGTGATTGTGTTTCTGGAGAGAGATCTTGAGCATCTTGTATTACATCCCAGCTTTATATTCCTGAGAGCTTTTGATCTTTTGAACACAACTTGATCGATTACCCTAACAGTTACAACTTAGCTTACTGTTTATTTGTAAAAGAAAGGGAAGTTGTTTTTGTCCTCATCGATATAAATACTATAAGATTAGGACTGAGTCTCTTACTTGTGGCTCACATCTAATGCCTTGTCTTGGACTTTCAGGTCTGAAAATAAACCAACCAGTTACTTTTCTTTTTACATCTTTCTACATAACTTTAGAAGGTGAAAGAAACCAAAGTTGGTTATTGTAAAATGATTTGGTAATGAATGTACCTCATGATTTTCCTAGATATTTTCATAAGTTTTTGTGTTCAGACAGCACTGTGTTTGCCAATTTCCCCCTAAAGAAGTAATCAGCTAGGTATGAAAATTATTATTAGCATAAGCTGATGATATCTAAATGCCTTGACGTTTCTGCCTTGAAGCTTCTGGCTGGTATCCTTTACTTACCATGAATTGGTAGTGTATATCCCAATGTTATATTCATTCAACACAGGAGGACTATATTGGTTAGGCCTGTATGGAGAAATACTAACCTATCGAAGAGCTCTTGGAGGTCATAGGTATTCTTCTCTCTGACTTCCTCAGTTGTTCATGTCTATTTCAAGTTAAATATAATTTTCAAGAGAGATTTACCTTGTAAGGAAGACCTGTTGGTTTAGGGTTTTTCAGGTTCATCAACTTAAAAATCTCAATGAAATTCTTGTCTTTCTTCTTTGTTGTATCGCCCATCGTTGGAGATGCCATTTGATTTTATTTTAGAATTTAGATTTATTAATCATAAAGATCGGGGTTTTGGGGTTTTGGGGTTTTGGGGTTTTGGGG